GATTGTAACTGAAGAGCTGGAGGTTTTGCTAAAGACCAATTTGGATTTGTACTGAAGAGCAGTTGGGTTGATTAAAGAATCATTAAAGAATCATTGAGGTTCATATAATCGTAGAGATTGAATTTGACGAAGATCTTGAGCTTGAAGGCCTTTGGTTCTATTTATAGGTAGTGAAGAAGCAGCATCCTCGACCTTTAACGCTGAGCTGAAGCACGGACAGATCGGTCATTTGGCTTTAACGATTACTATAATTCTTGATTGGTGGCCTTCAGCTGTGTCTTGTAGCGTTTCGCACAATTGTTGCGGTGACATCAGCATGTTGGATGACATGTTCCTTGACATTTAGGGAGGTGAAATATTTTCAGGCTTGGTTGTCTGCATGCAGACACACTTCGGGGAGAATCTTGTCCAAGCCCTTGAATGGTTGAGATGAAAAGAGTTGGTCGTCCGAGCCCTAAGATAGGGTCCTAGCTTAGGTTTCGAAATTGGTGGGCCAGAGTAGTGCGACTTTATGTAAGAAAAATTGTTTGATCCCACAACAAACATTTTTTTTTAATTTATGGCCCAAACAATAATATAATTAAAAGAAATAGTAACAAGTAAATGAGCCAACTTCTAGTCGAGACTTGTTCGCGTCAGGAATTTCCGTTGGAGACGTTTCCTGGCCGACGAGCGCACAGCTCCCTGGGAGGTTGGCGCCGGCTGAGGGCTGCTGTTGGGCTCTGCTTCACTGTCGGGCTTTGTTGGGCAAGGCTCGTCGGGCAAGACTTGTCGGGCAAGGCTTGTCGGGCAAGGCTGGAAGAGAAGGACAACATTAACTTTGACAGGTGCCTTTGTGGGGCCTTAGGTGTAGGCCTTGAGGCTCACAATCAAGATTAACTTCTAAGTATTCAGGCGTGCCACTGCCATCTTTAGCATGGCAGATGTAAAATAGATGTCGAGTTTTAGTTGTATATGTGTATATATATATATATATATATATATATGCCCGAGAAACCGTGTTAGTTATAACAGGTGCCTTTGTGGGGCCTTAGGTGTAGGCCTTGAGGTTTCCCATCAATAACTAAACCAGTGCTCGAACATATAATATTTGTTCCATTGATTGCAGAAGCCTTACAACTATTATACTTCTGATTACCCGAATCTGAGAGATAGAACGAACCCAAATAGGTGCCTTTGTGGGGCCTTAGGCGTAGGCCTTGAGGCTTCCCATCAGAATTCGTTCTCTATACTCAAACGTCCTAGACCGCGGAACGGAATGAATCTGAATAAGTGCCTTTGTGGGGCCTTAGGTGTAGGCCTTAAGGCTTCCCATCAGAATCAATTCCATGCTTAAGCGTTCTATGATAATCATAATATAATAGAAATAAAACTAAGGGGTAGGTCGATTACTTGCACCCCAAGTAACTTCGGACTTCTTGTTTATCAAGGACTATTGTGGATGGGTTAAGTCCACATAAGGTTCTTTTTTATGCCTTGAGGCCAAGGACTTTCAACAGATCAAATTTACATGCCCGAGGGCTTAGAATTTAGATCTGGTTTGAACAATGAAGATATATTCAAATCGGATCTAAGTGCTGAGAGATTCTTTTAATAGTCATCTTACTAGAAATAACTTGAATACAATTGGAAGTATACAACATATTACTAGTCTAATGAATGAAAAGACAAAAACAAAGATGGTCGGGCAAGGTTTAACCTTGTCGGGCAAGCCTGGTCGTCTTGCAGGTTCCTATCTTTGTGGCTTATCAAGGGTCTGAGAGCTTTAGAGAGAGGTAAGGATAGGAGTTTACAAAGAGAAATCGATACTACAGCAAGGTTGAACAGGGTAGTAGAGCTATTACAAAGGTTTGAGTGAAGGTTTATCCCGAGAAGGATGAAGGCTTGGGCTGACTACAGCTTCGTTTTGAAGGTAAATCTGGCTTTGAGCAGAGTTTGTGCTTGCATTTGTTTGTTTGTTTGAGTGTCCCTAATCCTGATTTCTCTTTCTTCTTTTATAGATAACTCAGCTTAGCCTCTTGTAGCAGCAGCCTTGCCTGAATGCAACTTGAGAGGCAGTGACTCATCAGCTATTTTACTTGTTCTGCCATTATAAAGTACTTTATGGGTTGTATAGCTGGTCAGTCTATACCACTTGGCCTTTGGGTAGGTGAGCAAGTGGTCTTCATGAGCTGCACTAAGTCAAAAAAGCCCTTTTCTGTTTTCTGGGCTTTGGCTGGGCTTAGGCCGATTCTTCCTTTAGGCATCCTTTTGGGCCAGCCCCTTTCCTGAGCCCAAAGTTCAAGTTTTGATCCAAACAAGACTAACACTAATATGAAGACGTTGGGAGAATTGTGAACTATCAGAAACTAGTATGAGCATACAAATCAATGTAGAAGTCAAGGATTGAAATGCGATTGATAATATAATCAATGTAGGAGTCTAAAGTGCGCGTTACTTATACACTATAACCATTGAAATCAAACTTGGACTGATCTCATTTATTGGGTCTTGTGTGTTATATTCACCACACTACTAATTAAACGCTCATAAATTAGTTAAGTTGGCATTATTTTTTTAGCATGAGTCCTTTTGATTTGAAATTCCTTTTTTTTTTTTACTTTTTTATCAAACGATAGATTTAGTTAGATTAGATGTTGTATTAGTTATTGATAAAATTTGAATCTACGCCGTCATGCAATGGCTCAACACATTTCCTTTAATTTGATATTATTCGCAATGTGCTTCTTGAAAAATATAACTCCTCTTGATTATCAATTATACAACTACCATTTCTCTTAATAAAAAGAGAACATATGTCTCATGATCATTGGTTGTCATAATCACTGCCACGTCAACCAAAGTTATTAAAATATTTGTTAGATGATAAGTGATTTGTTCGTTGGTTAATTAATTACAAGTAAGCTTCTATTGTGATTAGTATATTAGGAATTGCAACTCACAAATGTAATCAGTCAGTCATCTTTTTAGAAATACATAAACCTCAGTTCTTCTCTAAACTTTCCTCTAGCTGTTCATCTTTCTCAATTCTTCATTGTTCTTAGGTTTTTCTTCAATGTAGTTAACAACTATTTTCTCAGGTGAGTTCTAGACGCAGCTAAAATATTCTATAGGCAAAAATTTGTAAAGCTAATAGCTTTTTGTCTTTTATTGGCCCCAGTATAACATGTCAAAAGCAGAACAACTTTAATATGAATTGCAATAATTTCTTCCACGAAACTTCTTCATGCCCTTTTAATGGTAAATGAAGCTTCTTCGCTCTTGCTCAGAACTTAGATGATTAACTTGTTAGAAACGAAAGCTTTTTAACATTGAGAATTTCGTCGTGAGCCCTTAAACACGTCAAAGTGCTTTGTCCTATATTCTTCATTCACGAACCTTCTTTCTTGCTCACAAGTCAACATTCTAAAGCTACCAAAGCGCAATATCAAAAGCACTCCGGTAGTAGTAGTAAGATCATTTATAAACAAAGCAAAATAAGATAGGTCTGAGATGAAGTAAGTGCACGTAGGAGTGTTTGGGTTTCTTATGCATGTTGTTTATGCTAAATTTTTGAGGAATCTCGACGATACTAGAGAAAAATTAATTCAACTTAACCAATAAACAACACAACTGGGGGATATAAAATGTTACGGTCTTAACCTCGTCCTAATTAAAATTTAGGGTACCTCATACCGATCAGGAATACTATCTTCAACAGATAAAACAGCCGTCTGATTTCTAATCCATCGTCTTCAATTCCAGTTAGCCAATTTACTTTCTTCTTTTTTTTTTGTCAGAAAAAAGGTTGTTAGTTACCCTCACACAAGCCTCAAAATTAAGTTAACTTCCACATTTGGGATTAATTACATTTTCATAGACACCAACCTTTTCTTTCCTCTGTAACTTGTCCCGTGACAACAATAAAATGCTGCAAACCATAATGCAAATCTCATTACATTGAACTTAACTGGAAAAAAAAAATTCCAGTACGACTAAATTTAGAACTAATTGATTTGTCATATATAATCTTCCTGTCACAACATTTTTGTTTCTCACACATGTATACTCATATGCATGTTGTAAAAACGAGTTTATCCATAATGCATGTGCAAGTTAATCTCAATTAATAGAAAATGAGCTAGGGTTTGGTTATATAATTTAAGAAGTACAAATATTCGACTGTACAATGGGCATCCTACCCTCCAATTGTAGGAATTGTCTCATTTCGTTCACGAGTAATGATAAGGAGACCAACTATTTAGACCAAATTTTATAAACTATATGACATGGTTCTTGATGATTGAATTATTATTTGAGTGTTAATTAACATATTTATTTTCTATTGATGGCATATCATTTGATTTATGAATTTGGTCTAAAAAATTAGTTTCCCTAGCATTATTCAGTCATTCCATAATTCAAAATGTTCGACTCCCAAAGAAACCAATATTATTCCAGCAGATTTATGTCAAAGTATGTAATTTATTTGACGATAGAATTATAATTTGCATCTTGGACACTACTGTATCATAAATTAAGTAACGATAGAGAAAGATGGTACTTAATATATCTTTTTTGGATGAGGACCCTCGTAGGATTCTTATATGGGAACTTTAACGAAAAGCACCCGGTACGGTTCACTTTAACGAAAAACCACATTTTTACACTAAAAAGTCAATCCTGGTACTATTCATTTTACCCTTTATTTTGTCCTTATCATTAAAACTCAAAGTTTTCAAGCCCTTTTTATTAGTTTTCTTTTCTTATATCATAGTCATTCATCATACATTGTGCGATCAGTTTTCGTTAGGTACTATTTATGTTTAATTTTAAATAAAAATATTCAAAATGATTTATGTTCGCACGATTTACGATAAACAATTAGGATACAAAAATCCCTAGGATCCCCACCATTTAGATCGGGATGGGATCCAAATCCATCTTTTCTGTTAGAGGTAATGGGAAGATGCTGTTGCAGTGATTATTTCAATCATTGTGCCTCACTGTAGACAATTAAATTAGTTTAATTTTTTCTCAATAAGCAAACATACACCATACAATATAATGCAAAAGAGAAGGAAGAAAAATTAATCCACTCAAACAAAAGGATTAAACTTTCAGCTAATTAAAGTCGACTTCTTGATTAATGCTGCGCAGCATTTGATTAACAGCTGCTGCTATTTCATCCACTGTATTGAGCAGGCACCCTTCTTCAATCTGTCCCAATTCACAACAAAAATTAATTTGGTTTCTAAAATTATAAAGACATATATAGTGAATTTAGTAAAGAAACAAAATGATAATTTGTTCTTATTTGGACAATTTTTTTTAATGCATGAACTCGAAGGATTCACATCGGACCCACTTGATCGATGCATACACACTTACACAGTGCAAAACCAAATGACAAAAATGTAACTTGTTCTTATTAATTTGTAGACAAACATTTTAGTGTAGAGTAATTCGAGAGAGACTAAATTTGAAGATTAAATTTGCAAACTAAATGATGTGTTATCAATAGGAATAAACACATTTATCAACATTTAAATAATAAATCAATCATTAACTTTCATGTCCTTTAGTTTTTAAAATTTTATCTCTAAATTTAGTCTCTCTAGCATTACCCTTTTAGTGCATAAACTTGTAACATTCCATCGTCACATCCCACTTGCTGCATTCACAGAGCAAAACCAAATGACAAAAATGCGGTGCGGAAAATAATATAATAAGACGGTGTGAACTGATTAGTAGGTAAAGTAATCTTCTTTTGTCCATTAAATAGCCTGAGATTAAAATCCAACGTTATTAAAAGCCTTGTGTTCCCGTCACTTCCTTGTTTACTATACTCCTTTTATTGTTAAGAAAACTAATGAAAAAAGTTTGAAAACTTTGAGTTTTAACGATAAGGACAAAATAAAAGGTAAAATGAATAGTATTAGGATTGACTTTTTAATGTAAAAATATGATTTTTCGTTAAAATGAACAGTATTATGAACTTTTCGTTATAGTTCCCTTCATTGTTTTTCAATAAAAAAAAAAAACTCCTGCAATTGTTGATATGGTTAATTTTTGTAACCGTTATTCGCACTCCAAACATTTAATTGTATACTCAAAACAATCTATATTTAAAAAAAAAAAATACACTTATGAGAAATTCACGATGTAATTTTTAAAGTCACAATAATTATTCTTTTTCTGTCAAATTGATATGTTTTCTTGATAGGACAATATTAATTATGAAAAGGTAATGCAATCATTTGAAAAGACTTGGCTGCAAAACTGTAAAACTAATTACCTTAACGCTAACCGAGTAGAGGACCATTTCATCAGCTGTGGTGACATTAAGGTGAAGAACACTGAGCCTAAGGCTTTGAAACCCAGCCACCATCTTCAACAGCTGTCTAGGCCTTTTCTTGGAAAGTATCTTCAGGTTGGCATGGCTGTCCACCATGGTGACTTCTATGTCTGCTGCTGCTGCTGCCCACTGGTTGTTGTTAAACTGAGTCGTATTCAACTCGTTCGCTTGGAGACCAGCTGATTGGTTACACTGTGTTGCTCGAGTTGAGAATTGTGGGAAAGTGAAGAACTCTGCCAAAGGTTGTTGCTTGCTCCTCTTGTTGCTGTCCATCGACTGCAAAAGCTGCTCTAGCTCCTTCACAAAGTTTATGGCACCCCCAATAATTGATGCTTGGTCACCCTGTAACAAATATTCATAACAAGATTAATTTGCTGCAATCCCAAATCATATGGCTTTATTATGAAATTTTTACAATGGTTAGGTTTAATCCAAAAAAAAAAACATTTCAATCTAAAGAAAATGTAGATGCAAAAATCTTATCACTGAATTGGTTAAGCGCGTTTACTCTCGCACTTGAGGTTCTGTGTTCATGTATCTCCCTCCCGTAATATCACATTCGTATAAGGAAATAAAAATTAAAACATATGCAGCTATATCTGGCTAGGAACCCAATAATGAATTTTATTTTTGTGAATCAAATTTAATTAAACTAACCCTTTGAGCATAAGATTGTGGCATCAATGATCTGAGGACAGCAAGGTACTCATTCATTTGTTTGCGCCTGTTGCGCTCTACAACAATGTGCGTCATCCTCTGGTTCTCAATTTCCTCCTTGTTCTTGCTGCTCTTGGTGCGATGCCGTTTGCGGCGATTCGTTGTTGCTGGTGGTGGCGGGGGCGGTGGTGTTTCCATGGCAGAGAGGTGTCCTGGTGGGCAAGATTGATCAACTGTGCAAGCCTCAGGTGAGGAGTTAGGATCCCAATCTTTCACATTTTGCAAAAGTGAAGGAAATGATGAGCAGTAGTCCCAATTTTCATTGATGCCTTGTTGGTCTTGTAAGCTGAAGTCACTGCCCCAAGAACCACCTCCATTAAAAGAGTAGTAGTCTTTGCAACCAAAGCCAAATGGGTACTCTTGTGGGTAAATCACAGCTTCTAATGCCATGATTTGATCACTCCAATAACTTTTTAACTACTGCAGTATCTGTTTATAGTAGTGAGTGAAAGTGTACGAGGGGCTTTTGTGTGGTTCAAAAGGGAAAAGGAAGTTAGAAGGGTGAGGAGGTTTTTTCTTTCCTCCAAAAGAGAACCCAAATCAAAGAAATTTTTATTAGGGCTGAAGTTAGCTATGCCAAAGCACTACACCCAAAAGACCAAACAAACACACCCTTTTATCATCTCTAAATAAGAAACTCGATCTGGTTTCTTTTTAAAGGAGCTTTAGCCAAGAAAACGAAAAGCTACATTGTGTTGCACGTGAGATTTTGTGTAGACTAGTCACTCCACCAGAGGTTAAAGAGATTCTCTTTTGCTTCTATGGCCACTTACATGAAATATGTTCACTATCACATTGATATCCTGATCTAAAAATACACTCATATGAAAAACAACTACGCACAATAATACCCTAAATCAAACCTTACGTGATAGTGAACTTTTTCTATGTAAGTTCTTTACCCAGAAATAACAACTATATTGGTTAGACTAAATAAATTACAAAAACATTTTATTTGTATTCGAGCTACTGATTGCACTACTGATTACACCTTGTACAAAAATGAATTTGAATGCGTAAATAAGTACAATCAATCGTCTATACAAACATGCAAGGACCGAGTGAGTTATGACTCTAACCATTTTACGTTATAAACTTAGGATGCATCAATGGCTAGAAAAATCCAAAAGCTCACTTGTGTAGATAGATTACTGATGTACGTCTCATCCTTATGAGTTTTATGAATAGTACAAGTAAAATTTGTATAGCCAACCGACAAACTCTCAAACAACTATTTAGTATAGTGCTATTTTTCTACATATATAAGTAAAAGGTCTTACTTTCTCGATGATAATTTATTCTCTCTTCTCTTTTAGTATAAATATATTGTAGTTTAAACAAAATAATAGAAAAAAATGAATTTTAACGAAAAGCTCCCGGTACTGTTCACTTTAACGAAAAACCACATTTTTACACTAAAAAGTCAATCCTAATACGATTCACTTTACCCTTTATTTTGTTCTTATCATTAAAACTCAAAGTTTTAAAGCTTTTTTCATTAGTTTTCCTTAGAAAAAAAACTCTTAAGCACCTCTAATGGATTATTTAAAAAGAAAACTAATGAAAAAGACTTGAAAACTTTAAGTTTTAACGAAAATGACAAAAATATGTTGTAAGTGAATAATACCATGATTGACTTTTTAAAGAAAAAAATATGATTTTTGTTAAAGTAAACAGTATGTAGAGTTTTTCGTTAAAACTTCTTTATTTAAATTAATTAAAGAATTGGAATAATCCAACAGTGGGACCCTTTTAAGAAGACATTTTGTTTGTATGGGCCCAAAAGCATATCCCATTTCATGAATAGAACGCCGTATTAAACGGTGAGGACAGTAATCTCCCTATTCAACTCACATTGTACGCACTGAAACGGGGATAATTTAGTCTTTTACCAAGCTAGTACTGTACTTTTTTCCTAATTTTATGAACAGAATATCTAACCATGGTTTCATTTAGCAATAATATGGTCGGATACTTGGACATAGAAAAAGAAGAAGATGACGAAAAGCTGGTGATGTCTAAAGATTCTGATAAAGATCTACAAACAGAGAGAGATAGAGATAGAGAAGGAGATAAAAACAACACACAGCAGCTTAGTTCAGGTGTCGGACATGCTCAGAGGAATCCATGTGACCTCACTAATAGCCACTCTGTAATCATCTCCGACGAGGACTTATAATGTGTCCATCACCCTTTCCCAAAAACCCACTGTACCATTTACTGTTCTTGTGCTTTCCTTTGTTTGGCTCTCAATTTATTATTAATTCTGTTTCGTAGTCGACATTGAATTTGAGGTAGAGCACAATATTAGAAACTCTCGAAAGTAAATATAAACTCTTTTAATCACTTGAATTATAAATCTACGTTATTTTAAATACAACTACACTAACAAGAAGGGTAGGGATGAACGCTGTCAACAACCTGATTTACATGTAACCTCGTGAATAACAAATATCGATGTATTCAAAAAAAAAATATCTTTGTTCGTTGAATTATGTATTGAATTATTCCAGTATTTAGCTCTAATAACAAGAGTAGGATTATCTCTCTCTCATCTTTCTCTTCTTCTCTCTTCTTCTATTTAAAGAATTATGATAAAGTCACATAAATATCCTGTTTTGAATTTTTTTTATAGAGGAAAAGACAAAAACAAAAGTGTGAGAATAGAAGAGGAGATAATTTTACTTCATTTAACAATCTTGCCATCCTTCCATTAATTGAATTGTCTTCCTTTGTTAAATCTTTTATTTATTTTTTTTGTAAATTTTGTAAAGAATGATTAACCCTCTTTTGAAGAAGAAAGGACCATTGCACCTAGGAAAACCACAATCCCGTCCCCAACCTACTATATTTTATTAATAATTTGAAGAAAAAAAAAAGTAAAATAAGCGACTAACAATCAGATTTAACATATAATATTCTCCCTTTTTTGTTGCATATCAAACCGTTATATAGTGAATGTATCAAGTAAATATATGTACCGTAGCCAAATATTAAGAAATCTAAATTGATCAAAGGTTTTCAGAAATCTATTTGATCCTCCTAAGCAATAGGAGATGTTAATCAAAGGTTTTCAGAAATCTAAATTGAGGGCTGGTCAAGTAGCACGCCAACACCTCACCAAACAAAACACCCCTACCTTTTCATGTCTTAATATGTATTAGGCTTCGTCAGTTGTGGAATACAGTCGAATCTATGAGGGTCCTTATTAGCACAACTCCACCTAACGAAACACCAAATTAATTCAGATTATGTTTGCTAATTATCCCCATATGTTCCCTAATGGCATGTGCCCCAAGCGCAAAGTACGCTTACCAGAGCCTTTAAATTTACGCAAGTGGCAACAATGTACAAGCTGGTTTATATATTAATCGACTCTATGTGGTGGTTTACGCAACTTATATATTTGGTCAGATATCTGGTGTTAAACCAATTAGAATATTTGTTTGTTGACTTGTTCATGAAACCATGGAATATGGGACCTCAAATTCTGGAACCTGCTAATTCCTAGTAGTTCTTTCTTTGCAATTTAATTCGTTCGGGTTCCCGCAATATTGGCTGGAAGGGTATATATATGTTTATCTTACTATAAAGAACTAGCTAGTTGCGCGTTTTATAAAATACTAGCCTTCATGCACGCACTCACGTGCATGCAGAAGACATTTTTTGAACCATGACTTGCTATGCTCGATTTATACGTTTTAAATGTATTTATATGCGTTAATTGCTTCAATAATTTTTTTTTTTTGACAAAAAGAAAGTCAAATATTTGAAGTAACTGAATAATATTCGAACATGCTAAAAGAAACCCCTTATAAACCAATCAAAACAGTTAAATCCACATAACAAAATCAGTCTTTCAATTTCCATCTATATTCTATTGAATTAACATTAAGAACAGAGAAAATAATATTTACTAAACAACTGATTGAATTACATTATTACTAGTCCATTGTGAGAATAAGTCCACCCCACCCCCTTAGTGTAGAAAACATCGTTTGTTCAAAGAAAATAAAAAAATTGATCATTTGACAACTAATTGAATGACATTATTATGCACGTGCGAAAGGTCATTTTTTTATAATTAGCACTACGTGCCTCTTAAGTATTTAAAAATAGAGAAAATAATACAACTGATTGAAACACATTATTGTGTGTGTGTGTGAAAGACCTTTTTTTTATCACCAGTGGTACACGACTCTTAAGATGTTTTGAATGTGCTTTAAAATAGAGAATCTAATATTTAATAAACAACTTATTGAATCACATTATTGCTAACCCAATGTGAGGCTAAGCCCACCCCCTCATTTTTAGTATAGATAATATCGTTTGTTCGAAAGAAAAAAAATAATTATTTGACAACTAATCGAATCACATTATTATGCGCGTGCAAAGGACATTTTTTATAACCAGCACTACGCACCTCTTAAGATGTTTTGAACGTGTTTAAAAATAGAGAAAATAATATTTAATAAACAACTAATTAAATCATATTATTGCTAGCCTATTATGAGGTTAAGCCGATCCATTTTTCCCTTAGTGCAAATATCGTTTGTTCGAAAAAGAAAAAAAATAATCATTTGACAACTAATTGAATTACATTATTATGCGCGTGCGAAAGAACTTTTTTATTACCGGTACTATGCGCCTCTTAAGATGTTTTAAACGTGTTTAGAAATAGATAAAATAATATTTAATAAACAATTAATTGAATTACATTATTACTAGCCTATTGTGATGTACTAATTAAAAAAAATTGTACCAAAAAAACTGTACAAAAAGAATTAATTATTAAAAAAATACTGTCTATATGACAAAAATACCCCTGTATTATTTTGGATTCCTTTTGAACATTTTTGTTTGGAGGGGCATTTCTGTCTACTTTTTTTTGTATAGCTTGTGATCCCAAAAATACTGTTCACAGCAGTGTTGGCTTTATATATAGAGATATTTTGAAGTATTGTGAGTGTGAAACTGAAAAGCAGTATGTTGAAAGTGTGGTTACTAATTAATTAGTTTAGAAACAACAAAAAGTATTACTTACATTATAGTTTATTTCTTTACAATTATCTTAAACCTCCCATTTAAGACGGTGGTGGAGGGTGGCGATGAGGGTGGGTGGGCAGCGATAGGTTGGGTTTGGGGGTTGGTATGGTGTGACAACGGTGGTGAGGTTTGGTGGTGGCGGTGCCGAATGATGGCAGGTGGTGGAAGATGGAGGCAGTGGAATTTGGTTGCGCATGTTAATGTAGGTTTGGGTGAGGAAGAGTAGACGACGTTATTTTTACAAGAAAAGTGTTACGAGAATTGAAGATTTCAATAAATCTATGTGCCGCAACCTTTGAAAAATATAAATAGGTCATCGCTTTAAAAATATGCAAAATGTCATTTGTCTTCTTTCTTTATGTGGGACCATAATTTTTCAAGCTCAGAATATGAGTACATCAGTAGTCTGGTCATGGACTCAACTTCTATTTCGAAGTGCTACAAACAGATCAGTTGATGCCACCATTATCATGTTCCAAATAAGTGGTCAAAGTTTGTGGACTTCATTGAAATTGACCATGCTTATTCTGCAAGATACGAAAACCTGATCTAGAATG